TTTTCAATTGATGTAGTTTACTATCAATCTGGACTAATAGTGGTGAGTTATGATAGGACACTGACTCGAAAGGTCACCACAACCTCACACCCGTACATTAACAAATAAATAGTCATAAAAAAACAATACAAGTAAAGAAACTTTTTACTTGGAAACCATGACCTTGCTTGTGCTTTTATTTGCTCTGCTTCTACTCACGCTATATGCTATTATATATATTGTCACTTGCACACATTTCGACACTTCTCCACATCCAGGCTGCATCTATGTTTGTATCAATCTTTTCCTCATGTCTCCTCTGCTATCGGATTGTTTTTTGCAATGACCCTGTCAAAACGTGTTACAACGGCCCAAAATATTTACAAGGTGGGAAACGTGCAGCAGTTTCCTAAAAGATGCAAATACAAAAACACGTTTGGGGATTATAAAGTTGGCCAATTGTCACTGTCGCTGAAAACATCCATAAAATGTATGTTTATTGGCTTATTTTAACGATGTCATAGCAGGATTATTTCAGATATAATTGCAGATCTGCTGTAAGCTAACTTAAATGTGTTGGTCTTGTAAAATATCATGTCTTTTAAAACATTGAAATGTATATTTCCAACAGAACTCTTTACACCACGGGTACCTTGATGATGGCCTTCTCGACTGCAGGTGAAAAACATTTCTCTGTCTTGTTGTTTTGTAATGACTCATGGTCTACGTAAGTAATCTTACGTCTGTTGTTGCTCTTTTATTTTCATCAGCTTTATCAAACCTGATGTTCCCAGCTCTCGCCCTCATGGCGTCGGGTGGCAACATGTTTCTACTGACCAACTTGCAGGTACTAAAGCTGTCTCTGAGATAAAAGAAAATGTAAAGTCCATCCATCAGGACATTGTTTAACCTCTCATGAATGGGGGGGTCATGTTCAGACTCTTGATCAATCCTTCCTATGTTTCAGAATCAGACCTATGTTTCAGAATCAGACTGTGGCTAATATATTTGCTTTTGCCTTAACATTTTGGACACATTTGAGATTTTTCTCCTGTAAACACAGGATCAAAACCATACCTCTAAGTCATATAAGTTTTCCCTCACACCTTTCTTAGAAACCGAGTCCTAAAGGGTAATGTTTAATTCAAATGATGTAGTATACAACCACATCATCATATTCAAACAAGTAATTCAAATCATTGAATGGCATAACGATTTTTGATGTAAAAAAGACAAGTCAGATTTAGAAAAAAAAATGTTTGTATTCCTCTCATGAAGTTAGGAATCTTGTTCGGGTCACATCGCTCCACTGTCATCACTCTCTATAACGGATCCATTGGCTCTTCATCCGCGCTCTTCCTTGTCATCAAGGAAAGAAACACTCGCTCACTATTTTCGTATATTTGCAATATATTCAAACACTATCATGTTGTAACAATGACCTTGTTGTTCTGTTTTGCAGCTGTTGCATGAGGCTGGCATCTTTTTCCTCCCCTCCTTCCTCTTCCTCTCCGCCTGCAGCGTCCTTCACCTGCTCAGGACTTTCTTCCTGCTGCCCCGAGGCAAAATTCCCCACCCACTGCCTGATGGCTACACATGCGGGTACAGATAAAAAAATCACACACACCCACACATCAACAGAATACTTTTTGATCTGTGCTCTATGTTAGAAGTTCTTCTTTACTGTATAGACATCAGAGCAATGTGAGTTGATAGTATTCAGAATATATTATTTTTTATATCTATTATTTTGGGTGCTCCTTTTACAGATATTAATGTATTATTCATATGAAAAGGCTGCAAAACATTGATCTTTCATGTGTACACTTGTGATCAAATCACCTCAGACGCATGCTAATCCCAGGTGTAAAAAGGGCCCTTGTCACCTTTGATCTTTGTCAGGATAACCTGTAGTAAATCAAAGACTCTGAGCTTGGAGCAGATAACAGCGGAGGGTAACAATCAACCGACGACAGAGGAGGTCAAGGACGTCCCTGTGGATCAAGGTCTGTTCACTTCAAATCGCACAGATATTTAAAACAGGATAAACTAATCAAATATCCTATCTGTCTTTATTTTTGTTCTTTCCTCATCTTCATCCATCTCTGCGGTCTCCTCTTGTCTCCCTCAGAGAAGAGTTTACGTGAGTGTTTGAAGTCCAGGCTCTTCTGGTGGCACCTGCTGTGGCTGTCAGTGATGCTGCTCAGACATTACCTCTACATCGGCACCTTAAACCCCATGCTGCAGCGGCTGACGGATGGAGATCCTTCACTTGGTAAACATGCACAAACACTACCTTTTGTCTGATTGTCTAAGCAAATTTTGTGCAAACCTTCCTTACCATACCGTCTTTCCGCCTTGGTAACCACAGCACATAGCCTCTGGCAGAAATAAACTCATTCACATTGGAAAACTTGGCAGATTATCACAGCCAACACCTTCAAAAAAGTCCAGCAAGACCAGCTGGATCAAGCACCACCGTAAGAGCCACAGTATAAGAGAGTATAAGAGAGTATAGGCCGCCCCAGCATGGACCTTGGGCTGTTTAACTACCCAGCATGCTCCTGGCTGATGTCTGGTTAGCTGTGAATTAAAACGGATGAATTATGACTCTGACTGGCTCAGCAACAAGAGACTGACTGCCCACATCTTGCAGGGACCGGGCTACAAGGTGGCATCCCTGATCAACTTGTTCTGGTTCATGATTCCTGTAGTACGAGGGATGTTAGACTCTGAAGAAGATTTTAGTTTCTAACTATCTTGTCCTTGCTTGTGTGTCTCACAGTGAGCCGGTACACCGATGCCTTTGCTATAACACAGCTGTGTGGTGTGTTGTGTGCTCCATGGAATGGCCTCATCTTCGACAGAAACAAGGGCAAACCTAGCGCTGAAGGTAACAACATTCTAAAAAGAGCTTGTAATAAACCCAACATGAAAAAGACATGGTATCCTAAAGTGAGACCCATCTCAGGGCACAAGACAGCACAGTCAGTGGGCTCTTACCATAGAGTGAATAAAATATGATCATGTTCAGCGTGCCTACAGTCATTAAAGGGATTAGTTGCTGCTGAGTGCTCTGGTCTGTATGTATGGAGATGTCAGCAGAGTTTCTCTTTAAAGGAACATGTGTGTGTTGTATTGTGTGCGTCTGTAGGAGAGAGTGAACAGGAAGCAGACCTGAGGGCCTCAGTACTTTCTCTCTTCCTGACGGCGCTGCAGTGTGTGTTGTTCTCAGTCTGTGCCTGCATCCCCTCCCTGCCGCTTCAGTACTTCACATTTGTTCTGGAGGTAATCAACCGCTCTTTCCTCTTTGGCGGCAACGCAGCTTTCATCAATGTGGCGTGAGTATCAAACACACACACGACCACATACAAATTAATTCAGGACACAGCATGTTCTTGAGGCGTGCAGCATACATACACCATTCAGCAACTTTCATAAATAACCTGACCATTTTGTACCCATCAATCACACTGGATAATACATTTAAAGATTGTTTGTTGATGTATTTGTCTACAACTTCTGCTGTTAACCATCCACAACTAACTGTTGGTGTATGTGCTTGAAAACGATAGGTGTCCCGACTCTCACGCTAAAGAGTCTTGAAAAAGGGTTACACAATGTTGTATTGCCACCTCCCTGGTGGTGTGATCATAATGTATGATGAGGGATATGCTGTAAAGCGTGATGTTGATGTATATGAGCTTCTCTGGCCGTATTTGTGTTTTAATAAACTCATATATCCAATTAAGGAGAACTGAAGCTCATTGAGTTTGTTCTATCTCACCACAATTTGGTAAGTGTTACCTTCATCTAAGATTGTTTTAAATACTTGATTGGTGTGTGTGTGTAGTTTCCCGTTGTGCCACTTTGCGAAGCTGTATGGTCTGGTCCTGGCTCTATCTTCAGTGTTTTCCCTGCTGCAGTATGCCTGCTTTGCACTGGTGAACGGACCTCTTCATGGAGACCCTTTATATGTAAGTGCAAAGCATCTCACATACTTAATCTGGTACTTTTCCTCCCGAATTACCATTGTATTTCATCTCACTGCCTCCTCTCTTCCTCCATGCATGTGTCTGCAGGTGAACATTGGTGTGACGCTGCTCACCTTGCTCGCCTTCATCCATCCTCTCTCTGTGTTCCTGCACTGTCGAAGTCTCGCCTCCCAGCGAGCCATCAGTGCCTCCTCAAAATGTTTGTAAAATGGGATTTGCACTTCAAATTATGTCAGCAATGATAAGCAACAAAGCTCTGCCATCTGCTGGACGCTTAATTCTCAGTGTAGCTGTTAGATACTGATATTACTGTGCCAAACATACTCAATCTCCTTCTATGTTTTGATTTTATCAAAAATATAAATCTTGTGTTTTGAGCATGTCTGTAAGTAGAAACAAATGTGATGTCATGATGAATTCAATTTTTTATTTGAATATGCCAAATGTAATGATATTCATCAAATTATACAGAGATATATTTATGTTTCAGGTCCACCTGAAAGTGCAACAACTGAGGAGGTTGTCAAGTTGTTGAAATGTTATGAAATATATTTTCAATATGAAAATATAGTGTGTTAAATGGAATTATTCCCTATATAAATGTAATTGTAATATGATATTAAAATTAAAGAGATACAGTATGTAAAGGCTGAACTCCAAACTACCCCTGCGTTTTTTGCCCAGTGTTTGGTTGACTGAGTCCGTGTTTTCTGGTGACATTTGGTTGAGACTTATCAGAGATTTATCAGACTTTTTATTGTTTGTCAATTTATACACTATTTTTTTAAGTCATGTACATTTTGCCCAACTTCTAAGCTGAATAAAATGTAAATGAATAACATTTTGGTGAAAAAGGTGCAGTATAATATCAACCCATTTTCTTCTTGAGCTGTCCTCATTGGCTCCTGTCAGACTGATTGCTGAGGTTTGATCCACCTGCTGAGTCCTTCACCAGCAGCTGTCCGTCATTTACTCGTTAAGGTCTGATTGGTCCGGGCTGGTCTCTGGCAACACTTATAACCGTCCTCCTTTGCCAGGTTCTCCAGTGAATGCCTTCATCATGATGACTTCACGGTTTGTTGCAGGGTAAGTATCTGCCGTGCTTTAAGTTGACTTGTTACTCATACAAATGTGTTCATACTATTCCAAATTATTTCAGGGCTTCCCTCTTTGCGATGCTGATTGTGAGCATGTGCTTCCTTCCTGTTCAGCAAGGTGATGTGTCTTTGACTTTGGTAAAATGTTTGTTTTTTCAGTTGAATTAGCTTCCTAGTAAACTTGTTTTTCTCTTGTACCTAGGCTCTTATCCTGGGCACTATGGTGGAAGTAAACCCAACACGGCTCCTAATGTTGGCTTGTACCGGCAAGGGCCCTCTGGTCAGTTTTCACCTGAGGCTGTTGAGTATTACAATGTGCCCGCTGAAGGGATCTACCAATCACCTTATCAGGCTGTACCACAGCAGAAGCCCAGTGTCCCTCAGCTAACTGTTCAAAGACAACCAGAACCTGCTGTTGGCCCTGGTTCTTTTGGACCAGTTAATTCAGGTTACAGGGTAACTTCAGCAAGGCAAAACCCTGACAACTCTGCTCAACCAGAAGATGCTTATCAACCTGCCCCTCAAGGCAATGATCTCATGCTTAAAGGTAGGGTAGGTAAGTTTGAGAAACCGGCTCGAGATACACTTTTTGTTATATTCCATATGCTCTTAACATCCCGATAGCAATGAATATCTTAAGTGCTTTGACAAAAAATCCATAAAATGTCATCTGTGGAAGCCGTAATACTGTAAAAAGTACGACCAATCATTTTAGCCGGCCCGGCTAAAATAACTGGATGGCCTACCTGCCTGTCAGCCTTCCATCTGTGCACAAACTTATCTCGTGCCCTCATTGGTCATGTGCATGTTCGTGTGTGTTGGAGGAGGGGCTCTATAAGGAAGTGGCAGATTTTCTCCAGTTGTGTATTTTCAAATTCTAGCGATCTCGAGCCGGTTTCTCAAACTTACCTACCCTACCTTTAATGTTATGTTCTTTAACTGCCAAATCAGTTTGCAATTGCGCAATCAAAAACAAAAATCATCCCTGGCAAATCTTGTCCTCACTCTTTTCTTGACTACAAATTCATGTGAGTTTCAAACTTCTCTACATTTCTGTTTCAGAAGTTTCCAGTCAACCAGAAAACGTGAGTCCTCCTGGATCATTTTACCAGGCAGGGGAGTTGTCCACTTATTCCCAAATCTTAGAGCAGGGTAACTCTGAGCAGGAGACGGAGGACCTAGTGCCTCCTCCAGGACCTTTTCCTCCAGGACCTTTTCCTCTAGGACCTTCTCAACCTCCACCTCCTAGGTCAGAGTCTGCGGGACAAGGATATGCTAGACCAAGCTTAACCAGCGAACCTCGACCAGAAGCCAACACGGGTGGAGTTGAGGTCCCTTATCGGTTCTACGACTTCTTCTTCCTGAACGGACAGTACCCCCAAGGCACAGTCAGTTTTTCCAGCGACAACTACGAGCAAGGAAGAGACAGCTTTCAAGATGTTCACTATCTGAGCGACTATTTTCCCAATAACCCTGCACCCGTACAGGGGAGCCAGGCCGCTGCTGCTGCACCCGTCCAGAACTTTTACGCACCCAGGATACCTGTGAAGAGTCCTTTGATGGCTGGTTCTGGACGGGATGGTGCAAAGGCTGCTTCCCGTAGAGGCTTCAGGCAGCCAATCCGCAACCAGGCCCCTGGCTACAACTTTGGTTATGTATGTTCCCAAAATGTGTTGGCATATTACTAACTGCATGTTTCTAACTTGTACTAAACTTGGTATTTTCCTGTCTTTCAGGGTGGATACTAGTGACGTGGATGTCTACAGCATGAACAAAGATATCTGCTAAATAAATATTTTTTAAATTACTTTGGCTTCAAGGTTGATACTCTTGACTTGGGAACTCTCTTGCCGAAGGAGAAACCCAATTGTAAGATGGTTTAAAACCTCCTGTGAAATCACTTTAATATAATTTGGGATTGTTTTGGGTATTTTTATTGTTCTCTATTCACCATTTATTTGCAATTTCCATTGGCAAAAGGTGGTAGATGGTACACTATTTATAAAAAAACAAACACATGTATATCAGTGGGCTGAGTACTACAAAAGGGTTAAAAAAAACATTATCTTTTTTTTTGATGGCCCAAGATAAGAGGTACTTTATACCAAATTGTGGAAATGTTTGCGTTGTAGCAGCGTTACAAAAAACAATGCATTGCACAGAAGTAGAAATAAACAATACTAGAATGGCATTAAAAAGTAGAAAATATACAGTAGACTGTGAAGATAAATCTATAAACCCAGATGGCTTAAGAGTAACTTCTGCCTGATCAAAGGCAGTCAAACCTGCGACTTCTGTTGACGTATCGGGTGGTTATAGTTTCTTTGAGCTCTCTATTCACCATGCTGTAGATTAAGTCAGGGGTTCCCAACCTTTATTGTGCCAAGGACCGGCAGATACATTAAAAAAAAAAGATCGCGGACCGGTTGTCAATTTGAACTGATTTTAATATTTACTCACCGGCAGGTAGCAACAGAGGCTAATTGTATGTAACAGCCTGAACAAATACTAGAACAATATCCATCCAAAACATATTAACAAAGTTTAAAAAAGAACCGGTGTCATTTTTTGGTTTTTCGGAAAACCAAAAAACCGACGTTCAGTTTTTAAACCAAAACGGGAAAACATAAATTAACGTTTTGGTTTTTGTTTGTATGATTTACGGATAATCCAGTGAATGCTGGGAAAACGAGGAGAAGCCGCATTATGAACACTGGCATTTGTTTTCAGAAGATATTATGATAGTGTCGTTCGTTCCGGTGCACTCCGACAGCATTTAGCACTACATCGAGATTAAGATTAAACTAATTTATTTTGGGATTTTTAGCCATATGTGTGTAAATTACTGTTCATAAACATTTGAAAACAAATGCCGGTGTCGGACAAACAGACCGAACACACAGAGCTGAGCTGAGCAGAACACATACACACACACATCATGCGCCTTGGTGACTGACTGGACATCTCCTTCATAAAACTAATAAAAGGGGGAGTAATCGGGCAGTTCGATGTGTGTAGAGGTGTGTGTGGTTAACACGTAGCAGCCTGCAGTCACTCTTAAACTGTTCTGATGAAGTTAAACACAGCGAAGGCGGTGCGTAAAAAGGCACAGCTCTTTACCCACTGGTGCTGCACTTCTCAGAGGCGGAGTATACGTCCCGCTGCCTCCTGATGCTGCAGCCATTTCATGAAGTGAAGGTGTTCCTTCTATAAAACAGCTGCGGGCAGCAGATACCATGAGAGTCCCGAACATTAATTCATAGATCAAGGCAGACTGGTTTACTCTTCTGTTTTGTCAATCCGGTGCTTAAACAAATAGCTCTACACCCCTAGCCGACATGTCCTTAAAATGAAGTCAGAGTTTGAAATATATCTCAAATAATGTATGCACCACCATTTCCCCACCCATAAACATAACAGTCTGCAATCAAACGGTTGTCTCCTGTGCGCTCCTCTTCCTACTTGGCGCACCGGTAACATTCTCGTGCGCACGAGAGGAGACCTTAGGCTGAGCCGCTGAATCCCTCGGAACATCATAAAAGCCATTTTCAACGGTTTTCTGGTGAAAGATTAACTAGCTACTGGATGAAATAATATGACTGGTGGCATAGGTGCGAAAATTATTATGATAAAATATTTTTATATATTTATAATTCTGCAAATATTACGATAAACTCACAGCTATTTCGCGGCCCGGCAGTAACACCTCCGCGGCCCGGTACGCGGACCGGGGGTTGGGAACCCCTGGATTAGGTGACACATTAAATGCATCCTTTCAATGTTCTTTTACATACAAACATTTCCTCTCCTGCATCCATCCTCTCTGTGTTCCTGCACTGTCGAAGTCTCGCCTCGTATTGAGCCATCAGTGCCTCCTGTTTCTAAAATGAGATTTGCACTTCAAATAATGTCACCCATGATAAGCAACACAGCTCTGCCATCTGCTGGACGCTTAATTCTCAATGTAGCTGTTGGATAATTATTACTGTGCCAAACTTACTCAATCTCCATCTTTAATTTGATGGTCTCAAAAATATATTATATCTCGGGTGTTTTTAGTGTGTCTGTCAGTAGAAAAATGTTATGTCATGGATTCAGTTTTTTGTATTTGAATATGCCAAATGTAATGATATTCATCAAATTATACAGATACAATTTGTGTCAGGTCAACTTTTTTTTAAAGTGCAACAACTGAAGAGGTTGTCAAGTTAAAATGTTATGAAATATATTTTCAATATGAAAATATAGTGTTGGAATTATTCCCTTTATTTGCCCAGATATTTTTCAATTTCTGAAAAATATTATACACCTGCAGGCAACTGGCTATAACATTTTTTTTATAGAAATGTAATTAATCTGATAAGATATTTTTTTTTAAACAAGGACATTTATGTTTAGCATGATATTCAAATAAAAATGAGATACAGTATGTAAAGGCTTAACTCCAAACTACCCCTGCGTTTTTTGTCCAGTGTTTGGTTGACTGAGTCTGTGTTTTCTGGTGAAATTTGGTTGAGGCTTATCAGAGATTTATCAGACTTTTTATTGTTTGTCAATTTATACACTATTTTTTTAAGTCATGTACATTTTGCCCAACTTCTAAGCTGAATAAAATGTAAATGAATAACATTTTGGTGAAAAAGGTGCAGTATAATATCAACCCATTTTCTTCTTGAGCTGTCCTCATTGGCTCCTGTCAGACTGATTGCTGAGGTTTGATCCACCTGCTGAGTTCTTCACCAGCAGCTGTCTGTCATTTACTCGTTAAGGTCTGATTGGTCCGGGCTGGTCTCTGGCAACACTTATAACCGTCCTCCTTTGCCAGGTTCTCCAGTGAATGCCTTCATCATGATGACTTCACGGTTTGTTGCAGGGTAAGTATCTGCCGTGCTTTAAGTTGACTTGTTACTCATACAAATGTGTTCATACTATTCCAAATTATTTCAGGGCTTCCCTCTTTGCGATGCTGATTGTGAGCATGTGCTGCCTTCCTGTTAAGCAAGGTGATGTGTCTTCGACTTTGGTAAAATGTTTGTTTTTTCAGTTGAATTAGCTTCCTAGTAAACTTGTTTTTCTCTTGTACCTAGGCTCTTATCCTGGGGCCTACTATGGTGGAAGTAAACCCAACACGGCTCCTAATGTTGGCTTGTACCAGCAAGGGCCCTCTGGTCAGTTTTCACCTGAGGCTGTTGAGTATTACAATGTGCCCGCTGAAGGGATCTACGAATCACCTTATCAGGCTGTACCACAGCAGAAGCCCAGTGTCCCTCGGCTAACTGCTCAAAGACAACCAGAATCTGCTGTTGGCCCTGGTTCTTTTGGACCGGTTAATTCAGGTTACAGGGGAACTTCAGCAAGGCAAAACCCTGACAACTCTGCTCAACCAGAAGCTGTTTATCAACCTGCCCTTCGAGGTAATGATCTCATGCTTAATGTTATGTCCTTTAACTGCCAAATCAGTTTGCAATTGCGCAATCACAAAAGAAAATCATCCCTGGCAAATCTTGGCCTTTTCTTGACTACAAATTCATGTGAGTTTCAAACTTCTCTACATTTCTGTTTCAGAAGTCAAATGGGCTGTTGAACCTCCCAGGATGCTCTCCGGAGGTGAGGAAGTGTCGACAGGCACCCGTGCCGTTTTCTCCAGTCAACCAGAAAACGTGAGTCCTCCTGGATCATTTTACCAGGCAGGGGAGTTGTCCACTTATTCCCAAATCTTAGAGCAGGGTAACTCTGAGCAGGAGACGGAGGACCTAGTGCCTCCTCCAGGACCTTTTCCTCTAGGACCTTCTCAACCGCCACCTCATAGGTCAGAGTCTGCGGGACAAGGATATGCTAGACCAAGCTTAACCAGCGAACCTCGACCAGAAGCCAACACGGGCGGAGTTGAGGTCCCTTATCGGTTCTACGACTTCTTCTTCCTGAACGGACAGTACCCCCCAGGCACAGTCAGTTTTTCCAGCGACAGCTACGAGCAAGGAAGAGACAGCTTTCAAGACGTTCACTATGTGAGAGACCATTTTCCCAATAACCCTGCACCCGTACAGGGGAGCCAGGCCGCTGCTGCTGCTGCACCCGTCCAGAACTTTTACGCACCCAGGATACCTGTGAAGAGTCCTTTGATGGCTGGTTCTGGACGGGATGGTGCAAAGGCTGCTTCCCCTAGAGGCTTCAGGCAGCCAATCCGCAACCAGGCTCCTGGCTACAACTTTGGTTATGTATGTTCCCAAAATGTGTTGGCATATTAATAACTGCATGTTTCTAACTTGTACTAAACTTGGTATTTTCCTGTCTTTCAGGGTGGATACTAGTGATGTGGATGCCTACAGCATGAACAAAGATATCTGCTAAATAAATATTTTGTTAATTACTCTGGCTTCAAGGTTGATACTCTTGACTTGGGAACTCTCTTGCAGAAGGAGAAACACAATTTTAAGATGGTTTAAAGCCTCCTGTGAAATCACTTTAATATAATTTGGGATTGTTTTTGGTATTTTTATTGCTCTCTATTCACCATACTCTTATTTGCGATTTCCATTGGCAAAAGGTGGTAGATGGTACACTATTTATAAAAAAACAAACACATGTATATCAGTGGGCTGAGTACTACAAAAGGGTTAAAAAAAACATTATCTTTTTTTTTGATGGCCCAAGATAAGAGGTACTTTATACCAAATTGTGGAAATGTTTGCGTTGTAGCAGCATTACAAAAAAACAATGCATTGCACATAAGTAGAAATAAACAATACTAGAATGGCATTAAAAAGTAGAAAATATACAGTAGACTGTGAAGATACATCTATAAAC